TGTCGGTTTAGGCTCATTGCAACGTGGAAACGTTCCCGCACAATTCTCGGCTTCACTACGTTAGTCTGTCGAATGGCGCTGCTTTGTTGTAAAGCAATTTTTCCACTGGTACGTAGCTGATGTTACTAGAATGTGTCAATCGTAATGACGAATGATTGCAGGCGCTGGCAGCGATCGCGTCACTTCGGCCTTCTTCAGCTTTTGCGTACCTGTCGGAAACCGGCTTTGGCCACAGAGGTATTAGTTTTCTTAAAATCTTCTTTGCACGAGTAGCAAACCCGTTTGAAAAAGTACGTTTTCTGATTTGATATTGTATTTACTGTCTGCCGTAGGATAGACGGAATGAGGCTGTTGTGCATAACATTACATTTTATGCAGATCCACAGTTCATAAAGGAAGTTGGTAAGGGAATTTCAGCAGTCGTTTGAGAAAGAATCTTTTGCCTACGTCGAGTCTAGTGTAGCATGCATCAGATTTTTGTTTAGCAGGGATCACTTTGTTGTTGAATTGCCCCCCCCCCCTTGCGACAGAAGTTCGTGTCTTAAAGATAACGGATCTAACAGTGTAGTCCAGCAGGCGATCCAGCACCGGATTGTAAATGGCAGTCAACGAATAGTACGAAAGGGTCATTTCGGCATTTGAGTATACTGAATGATGACCAGTTGATCGCAGCTGATTCATCGACACAGAAAAATGCTTTGTGTGCTACTTCCGCTTTCCGTAGAAGAATCGAGTTTCAGTTGAAATCAATCAATCTTCGAACAGCTTCACACGAATCAAGGCATGACATGCATAGCATTCCGGATTCAGTATTGAACTTGCAATGCAGTTAATGAATCGAAGATCATTGCAAACTGAACAAGTGTTCATACAGAGCAAGAAGCCTGGCTCTCTATTTTTTCGATATTTATTAATTCCATGGGGAAGTGGTTCCATGCATCGTGAATTTCAGTTTAGGAGGATGTAATCACTCAGTTCAGTCAAACAGTCAGTCACTCAGTATGTAAAATGCTTTTTTTATATCGTGGTTATCCTTATCTTGATTGTCTTAATTTCGTAGTAATCGTCTGCGTATATCGAATCATTTCTAGCTCTTTTCGAAGGAGACATACGAATTCCCAAAAAGAAGGCAATTGACATAGCTGTTGGGTTATAAATGTGTAATCTTTTCTATTAGATGCATTTAAAGTCACGTCGTGCAGCGTTGTGGCCCCATCGCACGGTCTACTATCGATTGGACTTGAACAAATTTAGTAGACATTTGTGCCAGTAAAGCACTAGAATCGAGTATGTGATCAACTTTTGAGGTATGGAGGAACCGCGGCGGAAGCTTGCGGTGTTTTACGAAAGCATACGGGAAATCGAAAGATCCACATGCATTAAATTCCGTCTCACCACCTCAGAGTTTTACAACTATCTTTTCATCACGGTCCTCGATGGGTGGGTAGACGGCTCGCGAATAGGTTACCAATCATGACGCTTTAATTTTAGGTGCTGGTCGTACATTGGTTACCAAGGGTCGCAAGGACAAGTTGTGTCACTAATGAAATCTTGCTGGGACAAAGCGACGATTCAGCACGAGCTGATGCATGCTTTGGGTCTGTACCACGAGCACACTCGGAGCGACAGGGACGACCATATCGTGGTGAATTTATCCAACGTAAAACCACGTAATCACGAATGACTTGCAGTAACAGGCCAATGATGTTATCGGTGGTTGTAGAGCATAAGTCCCAATTTTGGAAACGGCAACCTCAGAGGGATGAGGCACACCAGTTGGCCGAATACGACTTTCATTCGGTTACTCACTATGGTCCATTCGCGTTCGCTGTTGATAAGAGGTTTCCTACAATCAAAGCTAAGGTTAAAGGGTAAGGATTTTTACTCAGTTTAGTGCTTATCCGGCAACGACTCCACCATCCATCACACTTCTGAGCAATGCAGCTTTTTTCAAGCTTCTATGGAGCACACTTAGAGGGTGACTGTGTTCGGTCAGTACGGAGCCAGTGATGTGCGAATGTATCATCCTGAATTGATTTGATTACTGCAGAAGGCAGTGATATGAATATGATATGAATAGTAAAAGCTATTCATGTCTGCCACTGGTCAAAAGGAAAACCACAGAAGATATACAGCCTCTTTACTGCCAAGGACCGTCATTGCAGACCATGCATAACATGGTGTCAAATGAGTTATACGGCGTTCATGAAACTGGCAGCATGACTAACAGAGAGATTAAAAGCTGTTTCTGGAAGGAACTGCTGGAGAAAATTGGGAATGTAATTAGTCACAATTGCTAGCCAACTTGCTTTAAGTCTAAAATCATTTTATCATAATTCTGGCGAATTCATGTCACAAGCATAAATGTTACTCAATCCACAGAGCCGTTTTGCTGTCACGAGCATGTATTTTGCTGATGCTGAACCACAATTCTGATGCTGTTCTGTTCCATGCTCTGCCGATACGAAAATACCTTCGAGTTTTGACTTAGTGGAACCTCCCTCTTCCTACCTTCTACAAGGAGAGCGGTAGAATTTTGTCCTGCAATCTGGCGTAATGGCGTATCATTCTTTAAGGCACTTGATCATCCCAGGAGCACGATCTTTGACCGATGTTTGATCGACGAATTTCATTCAGGTAATATGCGATGATATATTAATTATGAAACTTCTATCAGACGTAGATTAGTGATAGTACAATACTATTTTTATCCCGTTTTATCATAGACCATATCCGTCGCATATGATGTGTCGCCATTAAAAAATAAGCGGTTACACACTCCTCTGCTTTGTCGCCTTTCGTATCTTCCTATGTACGTCAGCTTTAAACGCAAAATCTAATAAAATGCTTTGCAACAGTTCAGTAATATGTACGCTTTATGTTGTTCCGATAAACTTCAAAGCTCAGAAAAGCGATTAATCGTTGATTCCATTCGAAAAAATAAATTCTTTCGTTCGTTCCGTTCGAAAGATCTATATTAAGGTATTATGAGTTTTACTTGTTCACTTTTTAGGATCACTGTAGGACCAAAAGGAGGCTGCAGTCCTCTCGATTTCAAGAAACTACGGTTGCTGTACGAATGCGATGACTTTGAAGAAAACCACGAAGATTCCACTAAGACGGAAAGTGTGGACAAATGGGCTGATTTTTCAACCGGAACTCGAACATATCCACGAATGTTTTTTACACTTTCAGTGTTCATTTGCATTACGGTTTTTCTTCTGTAACAAATGTTGTGTCACTGATGTACAAACAAAATCTCTGAAAGATGCTGTTTCGTGTAGAATGGGTTGGTGTCACAGAAGTACATCTTTCAGGATGCGTATGTACCTCAGAAAGCTGCATTCCAGTCAGAACAAACAACAAAGAATGCAGCGAAGATACTCTCAGAACAGAAGAATCCCAACGTCATGAACAGAAATTCGTTCTTGCTCACATCTATACTGTGGAGTTTGTACAACCTTGAAACGTTCAAACATCCTCATAAGGTGGTTATTTGCTAGAAAAATTGCATAAATCCTCCAGAACCAATTCCACAGTGCATTAATGCCTTATAAGACGTCGTATTTCATATTGACTCAGTGGGACCATTTAAGTAGGCCATGATTAGCGAACAATGTTTCAGAAGATAGTACTCTTCAGTTTAATATGAATGACAACTCCTGCCAACAGCGTTAGATTTCGCTGTCAATATTTCGGCAAAATTCAATTTAATGGTTAAAGCGCCTTGCGCTCTGTCAAAGAGTTCATATTAGCAATCGCATAGGGAACATTTGCGTGTGAGGTACACTTTGAGCCCAG